TCAATGCCGATTCTTTTTTCCTTGTTTTTTTTTTTTTTTCTATTTTAATATTTTATATTCTTTACGACCATAGCATAGATCTGGTTTCATTTTATTGATGCTCCGACCGAATTTAATTCTGAAATTTTCCAAGCATCGATCCAATCGGTGAATTGTCGGTCAATCGCTGCCAATTTCGAACGAAGAACGATAACCGCAGTTATTCCCATATACATACACGTGTTCAGAGCAAACGAAACTGCGAATTAGAAAATTACACCAGGTCGGAGCACGTTCATCGATCGAAACTTTTTCCTCGAATAAGCGAAATCGTCGTCCAAATTTTCTTTCCGTTCGATTAGACTTGTGCTTGCTCTCTTTTATTAAACGTTCAATTACGTATTTCGTTGTTCTCGAAATTATCAGTTGATCTATCGTCATACATCGTTTTGAAACGAAATGTTCTTAAGAAAGAAAGGAAATTAATAAAAAAAAAAAAGAATTATCACAATTTCTTTTATCACGATTTTCTCCATATCGAAATATTGTTTTATGTGAAATGATTGTCGGTGATGTACGAGCAGTTTAAATAGAATGAAATTTGAGAAAAAATTCTGGAAAATATTTGTATGGCGATACATCTTTCCTTTTTTTTTTCTTCTTATAACGATCGAATCAGGAATCGACGATTTTTCGAGCATGATTATTTTTTTTTAAATAAAGATTGCCAACGATTTTTATTAAATTTATCGCGAGAAAAATTTTTAACGTGACACTGTATTTGTTTGGAAGTTCTTTTGTTTTTCTTGCTTCATATTTCCTCTTCTTAAATAATATATCGTTATAATAAAATTTCTATTTAAATTCTTATTTATAATTTTATCCTTATACTTACAAGTTACTAACACTGTTCGTGACGTCTATTTACGTCGTTATGATGTATTGAGTCCCCACGCCATGCAAACATGTTTCTATATACAGAATTTATTTGAGTATTTTAATCAGAACACCTCGAAGTTTATTCATTATTAATATGTTATTCATTTCACTTCGCGTTTTTTCAACGATTGATCGATTACTCTCTCATTCCGTACAGTTTTCTCTACTGGAAAAATAGAAAGGATTTTCACAGTTTTAAGTAAAAGATTTATCGTTTTCGTAAGATTCATTTGTGCGATACGAAGATCAATGACTGTACTGCTGAATTGTTCTTTTTTTTTTTCTAATTTTCTCTCTTCTAGATTCTTCATTTCCATAATTATCCCATAATATAACATAACCGATGCAGTTGCGAAGAAACGATCCTGTATTTATACGATTATTATTATTTCTCGCGTATGTTTCACGTGTATATTTTTAATTTTATATTCGTTGTACGATACGAGGAGTGCAACTGCCTCTTCTTAAATCTTTTTTTTCGATCTGTCTATGTCACGCTGAAGTATTTATATTCTATTTGAAAGAAGAAAATTAGAATAAATTTTATACGTAACGTTTCTTAAGATCAATTTTGTTGTTATATTATTTAATCAATTTCTCCTATTTCAATAATTTACGATGAAATGTGTATTCAGTAGAAAGGGATTAACACGATTAATTCGATTTGTTTCGTGCAGATGCGAAGCTCGTTAGAACATTAAACATACCCGTATTATATTTTATTATGTAGATTATTATTAAATATACGAAAGTGATGGCCATGATACAAATATTATCGAGATATTATCATTCGTTCATTTTTTTTTTAATTCTGCTTTAAATAATTACATACAAAAACAGGAAAATTTAAGAAGAATCAATTCCTGTAATTTATATCGATTCTATAATTTATTGATCCTGTAATTTAATTGATTCGAAAATTTAATTGAATAGAAAATGATTAACACGTTCCATATTGTGTGTTATAGATAGATTAATAATAAAATTTCAAAAATTTCATGAAATTTATTTAAACGTTGGATTAAATTTTAGAACATATTTGTACAAAGGAAAATATCAAGATGTTAAATTGATATAAAGAAAAAAAAAATTAAAAGCTATAGAACTCTTGACAATTGAAATAATTATTTGAAATATTTGATATTGAAAGATAGCTTCTTTTTCGTAATCTTTTTGTCATTTTAAATTCTTTTTTCTTTTTTAGAAAATATTTTTTAGAAAATACTTGTGCTTCAATAAAATCAATTTGTTACATATAAATAATACTAATATAAATAATACTAATATTAATATTATAATATTATCATTATTATAATTATTATTAAGCTATGGATGTATTTATGAAAAATTTGAATCAAATCTACAGAATGCACATTGTATGAAAAAAAATACAAAATATTCAAAATATAGCGCATTATGATATTTGAAAAATAAGACAAATCTTTATTTAAACTCCATTTTTTTTATTCATGTTCATAAAAATGTTTGTATTTTGTATAAACATTTTTAATTATCATCATCATCATCATCATCATCATCATCTATTATTATTTAATAAAATATTATATTTTCAATATAACTTTTCATTTAAATGTTTTATTGCTCTTTATGATTAATACTTATTCGTTACACAATACGGAACGTGTTTAAATGGATTTAACCACTGTCGTGATTTGGTCTTTGTAATTGATGATACAGTGTGAAATACACCTATTGCATTAAACTGAAGTTTACGCCATTCAACGAAGAAGGATTCGCGCAGAAGTGGACGTCGCGACGTTAAATTTCATTTCGGAGTGCTTTCAGTGTGATTACGCACCAGACCAACAAATGTCTGTAGGCACGCACGCAATCCAATTGTTTCGAGCTACAGAGGGACCTGCAACTTCCGGTTTATACCTTGTTTCGTGATTGACGTTTGTTTGTAATTCGTTAAATTAAATTGTACAGTTTGAGATTTCTAATTTTTGATAATGTTAAATATTAATTATAAATTTCTAATTTTTGATATTTGTTTAATATTTTATCAACTCCTGTTTGAATTAAAAAATGTTAAACATGGATTATAATTCAATTTATATCTATTGTTTTTTTTTTTTTTTTATTTAGCTCTCATTCATTTTGAAATATTTTATGATCAAAAGCAATTTAAATTTCTAGATTTAAATTTGAAAGAAATTTTTATGCTACAACTTATTAAGCTAATAAAAAAGCAATTAATCTTTTATTTATGAAATAACATCACTATATGCATGTCTCTATTAAAGTCAAATTATGCAGTTAAAGCTTTTATTATTCCTTTTTGGTAGCCATAATTGCGAGAGTTAATTCGAGCAATTAATGCTATTGTAATTTTGGAGATGAAACCGTAACTAATTATATAAAACTGTTTCAGACATGAGGCAAGTAATTGCTTCATAAATTCGATTTTTTTTATCGACATTTATAATTTATTTTCATCGATTTATTTTATGTTTAATTGATTAATCGAAATGAAACGAATATGCAATTTAAAAAAAAAGCGAAATATTAATTTAATGAAGAATGTTAATTTATATTTTAATCATTTCCAATTATAAATAAATATTTAGAAACGCAAAGATATATTATCATAATTAGTATTAATTATACAATATTTTTTTGGATCATCTATCATCATTTTAAATAGATGTGATTTAACTCGAACGGAAATTGCAAAATTTTATCGCAACTTATTGATTTATTGATTTCGTAATTAAATATCTGAAAATTAAACTCATGTGCAAAAAATACAATATATCTTTATGTCTTTAGAAATGGAATTTCCTACAAATTTTATTGTATACTTAATTGAGTACTTTTGTATCGAAAATTATAGCATTATCATCTCTGATTTTATCTTATCAATTTAATTCGATATGAGTTAGAATTAATAAAGAATAAAGATTTTTAAACTAGTGCGTTTTTAAATAATATTTTTCATATTACTCATATCTTTCATATTACTCAGTTATCTATCTACCTACAAAAGACAAATATGAAAATGAAATTACTTCTAAATCTATTTTATTTTTCTTATAAATCAATTGTATAAAATTTTTTATATCAATCAAATGAAAATTTTTTCAATCTTTTTATCGTTTATTCTTTGTTTCAATTATCAAATGTCAAATCAAAGATATCTTCGATATCTTTAATATGAATACGATAATAACTCGATAATATAAATTTTCGCGATCAAAGTACAGTCTTCGATATGAACACAATACGATAATAACTCGATAATATTATTAACGACAAAAGAAAACAATTCTAAGAAGAATTAAAGAAACAATTTTTTTGCGATCAGAATACAGTCATTGAGAACTTCTGTGTGGTCAAAGAACGCAAGCAGGATAATCACGTGATCGATGATCAATTACGATACTTCAAATCTTATTCACAGTTCAATGGAACTCTTCGTTGCGGACATATCGAAGATCTTTCAAGAATTCGGATTCGTGTCTGTACGGAAAGCAGGGGTTGTCCAACTTGGCAGTTTTGTCTTCTGTACATCTTTCAGCTGTCAACCCTCACCGAATATTATTCTTATTCGATCGTCCTTATATTCTCTATTATCCTAAAAGGCAAACTTTATTTCTCTGTTAAAAGAAAATATTATCAAATTAATCATGGATATTAAACGTGATACCATCGAGAGAACTTTGTTTGATTTTTTCTTTTTTTTCTCTTTTTTGCTTTCTTACATATTATGCACATTATGTATTTATAATTCGTCGAATCCTACTCGAATTGCAGCTTACGTATCTAACTGTGAAAAGGTTGGACACCCCTGTCTCGAGTTTTTTCTTGGTTTTTTTTTTTTTTTTTTTTTATTTGGCAGTTATATAAAGACCGTATCAGTTCCACGAGAGACCCTTAGTGGCGCGATAATGTTCTCGATTCGATCGTACATAATTACGCCCGCACACAAAGCGATTATAATTATCATTATTATTATTATTCATTTGTTATTAACATATGTATTATTAACAATATTATCATCATTAGCATTATTCAATCATTATTATTATTATTATTATTATTATTATTATTATTATTATTATTATTATTATTATTAATTAAATTTACTATTAATATTATTTATATCATTAGTCATTACGATTATTATCGTTACCATTATCATTATTATTATTGTTATTATCGTTATTACTATTATTGTTGTCCTTCTTCTCCCTTCTATCGTTCGTGTCTGTTAACTATTGAATTACTGAAAGGCCGCGACAACACTCTCTCGAGGAATGCGCGCACAAGCACACAGCTTTCTCGAATTCCCCCTAGTAGCCTCGAACGAATCGATGCTCCTCCTCGCTCGAGAGAGACGAGGACGCGCTCTTCTTGCATAATTTAATAAAATTATAAGATCGTCGTACGACACCGAGCGTCGATCACTTATCCGCGGAGAGTTTGATACTAGATAGATAGATAGATAGATAGATAGATAGGTAGATGGATAGATAGAGAGAGAAAGATAGCGATTGCGCTCGATTAGGTTTAAACTTAGGAGAGAAAGTTCGGTTTTTAGCCGAAGAAAGTGAACGCACAACGTGGCCGTGTATTGTCAATAGTGTATAATGTGTCGAGGCGCTTTCTTTGCCCTCCTCTACAAGTCCTTTTTCCAATCGCTTCCTGCCAAGTCCTTCCGGTTTTTCCGGTTCGGTTCTTCAACACGCGAGGGGCGCTTCCTCGTTTTTTAAACGTGTGTGTTCGAAGCGTTTGAAAAATTTTTGGTCGGTCAGCAAGAACCGAACGAACGACGACCTCTTCGATCTCTTCCGCCTCCTCTTCCGGCCTCTTCACTCTTGCTTGTTCCTCCCCTTTCTTTCTTCGCCTCTTCCTCCTTCCTTTCGCCGAAACTGGAAGCACGTCTCACACGTAGTATTTCTTCTTTTTTTTTCGGGGGAAGAAAACGGGAGAAACAGAGAGAAAGAGAAAGAAAGAGAGAAAGAGAGATAGAGAGAAAGAGAGAGAGAAAGAGAGAGAGGGAGAGAGCGAGAAGAAAGGAAGCACGAAGCAACGAGCAGCTTTTTTCGTGCTCTCTCGTTACTTGATCGCTCTTCCGTGGCAGCCTCCTCGAAACTCACGTATCGTCGTTTCTGTGGAACAAAAATAAGTAATTGCGGGATTGAATCAATCAATTATATGCAAATGTTATTATATTGATGTATGAGACATGTGTGAATATATGTTGAAAATTAATTGAAAAAGTAGAAACTACTAGCTAATGAATATAACTTTATAATAAATATTATTTTTGAAAACCATATTATCAATTTTGACTCTTATATTTTTATATAATTTATTCATAATTTTTAATTTACTAATTTTAAATTAATTATATTTTTTAATTCTTATATCATTTGTTTATATATTAATAAACTATTGCTAGATATACTGGAACAATTTATAAAAATGAAATTTGATAATTTTTATTTGTATTCATTATTAGTAAAATTTATATGATTTTTGAATTGTACGTATATGCGTATTTGTTGTAACAAAATAGAAATCTCTTTTTCTCATTTATTATTAAGGAAATAGCATATATTAATTTATTACATATTTAGATAACTTGTCAAATTTAATAACTTTACTTGGAATATTTATTTATATTTTATACAGTGACCTATATTAGAAATTAAAGTTTGCACGAAATTCTAAATGTTTGAAAATTCAATTTCTAATTTCTCAGTTTATAATTTTGGGAAAATTGTATACCACATTGAAATAATTGTGATAACGAACGAGATAAGCTTGCTATCCATAGAATAATTTCATACTGTACTAATTTTCTATGCCACTCTAATGAATTAAGAATGATGTTACTTGAATACAGTAACTCATATATATACGTAGAAGTCATTAGAAATTGAACAATGGTATTCTCTTTCATTATCATTAAATATCCTTTCATCGTGATTGTATGGAAAATTTGTATTTACAATTACAAATAAAATATAAAAAATATATTGAGAGAATATAATTAAAAAAAAATTGTTTTAAAATAATATATGATGTTTTTCTGCGTAGGAGAATATAGATATATGTAAATGCGAAATAAAGTTTAATTAGCTTTCATATATATATATATATATATATATATTCCTTTATGAACATTACGTTGAATCTGAAAGATTTAAATGAACTGAGAAGCATAATTTAGCGAATTTCAGTAACGAGAAAGAATATTTAAGAAAAAATTACGTCTCTTTTAAATTTATTGCGAAATTATTCTTTAAAGAGAATCGTAAAGGAAATATAAAACGAGATATGAGAAAATATGAAAGTGTACTTTTTTAAATGAAATGCTTTCAACATATGGCGTGATTATTCCATTTTATAATGACTTCAGACTAGTTGATTATTGTATATTATATTTAAATAAACTATATATAAAAAATGTATATGTAAAAAATGAAAAATTTGAATGGAAAAGAATGCTGATGATTAATATTGTTATAAATATTGAATAACTTTAATACCTTTGGCAATTTTTGTGCATTTTTTCGGTGACTTGACCGGGGCAGTCTATTTATTGGACGATTATGTGTGGCGCACGACACAATATCACTATCGTGGCCAAAACCGTGAACAACGTGAAAACGATCAAGCAAAGCCTGTAACGAACAAGGAATAAAATTATTAAAATTAAAGATATCTTAAATGAACACTCATTAATATTGATTAAATTCTTCTTAATAGATATATAGAATTTAAATTTCATACAAAAGATGAATATTAATTCCAATAAATAATTGAAAAAATAAAAATTAAATTAATAAAATTATTAAACGATAATTTATATTATCTTTATTCTATAAAGAATATTTAATATTTAATAATAAATAATAATAAGTAAGAATAAATCAGAAATTAAATTATTATTGAAATTAACAAGAACTTAATATTCTACATTTAATATTAATAAAATATACTAAACCTGTCCACCACCATAGCGGCGAATTTCCAGTCGCTAATGATCTCGTCGCTTTCATCCGCCTTTTTCATACGATCCGTGATGAATCGTAATTCCTTAAGAATCGTGTGCAATTCCTCCTGCATCCCGCTAAGAGGTAACGATGCGGACGTATCTTCGACCGTTGCTGGTCTTCCGGTAGATATCGGTGTACCGAACGCCGACCTGTTACAAATAAATTAATTATTCAATGAAAATTATTTATTTTTTTTGCAAAAATAAAAAATTATGATATAATATGTAATACAAATATAATAAAAATATAATATGTATTATAAAATCGAAATTGAAATCGAAATTCGATCGCACATAATTAATTAAAAATATATATATATATATTTGTGTGATTTCTTTGAATATTATTTTAATAGTATCGAAAATATAAAAGGATATAAATATAGAAGAGAGAGAAAATTATTATTGTAAAATAAGATTTCAATTTAAATTTTCTTATTATTTTCCTAAAAGTTTATATTAATTATATAATAATTACGTATTTTTTATTAATAAACGTAGTGAAAGGAGAAAATTAATTAAGTGATAATTGGGTCAACAATTATATATGTTGCAATATTTGTTATTTAATTATGAAAAAAGAATAATGTAATAAATTTGATCGAAAATCTATTATTATGCAATATTTATTATATTAAATTTTTGTTCTTTAAACTAGTACTTTTTAATAAATTATTGATAATATTTATATTTCGATCTGCTTGATAAAAATCTGTTTTTTTCTTAGAATATTATTTTCTGTGCTATGTCAGACACAACGTTGAATTTTTAATTCATTTTTAACGAATTGAATTTAATTTATTTCCAATAATACCTCACCAAGTATTTGAAATAAGAATCAAGAAATACACGAGTCAAAAAATGTGATATATAGTTTCCACGTTAATGTCCAACTTTCATCGAACATTTCACGTTGAGACGTTTCATAAATAAATTTTGTCACGTCGTTCTATATGGCGGACACATTGAAGAGCATATGGAATTATTTTATCGGAAATGTCTCAACTAGCATTTGATATCAATGAGATATCATGAACAGGCATCAAAGAGAAGGAAAAAATAGATGTCCTCACTGGAGGCCGATACATTGGAAATTTAAACGGACAGCGATTCGTCTATTCGGAAAAATCTATATCCCCGAGGTATGTTCAAGAAAAATGGAGACACGAAATGAATTTTGAAAATTGAAATGATTGAACTTACAGTTTTTCTGAGACTTATTTATTATCAGAAATCATTTTCATACTCAATTAATTGTTGATAAAGTTACAACACGAATATCATATTTAAAAGAAAATATGAAATTTATTTTATTAATTTGTTATTAGAATAATTACTTTATATTTAAACAATAAAATCATATTAATAGATAAAGAATAGTAAAATAATTAATAAGATAATTAATAGATAAAGAATAGTAAAATTTATTAAAATTTATAAATAGTAGATATTAAATAATAATTGGATGGATAATTAAAAGGACATAATAAGATTAAGAAATTACTTCAACTATTTGATTATTAACATACTGGATATTGTTATTATCATTTTTCTTATATCAATCTTATTCATTTCATTTTCATTTTAAATATATGTTACTTCTTCATTTTAAAATACACGTATTACTTTAATTTAAATAAATTCTGTACCACTTTTTCACTGTGTTCCTTCATTTGTTAAAACATTATCGGCTACTTTTTACTAAATCTTCTAACATTACGAGGATTCTGCTGAAGTTTAGAATGTCTGTTGGAATGAGGATTATACGTGTTGAATTACATTGTCATCCCAACTATGTTGATTCGAATGCACGCATGGATAGGGATGTTCACTCACACTACATTTACATATCCAGTATGTCATGCAAGTCATTATCATGCGAGTCTCGTGTGTTTTTTTCGTAAGAGAGATTAAGTAGCTTTAAATTACAGAATATTAATTATATTATTTGAATCGTATACTTAGTAGAAGAAAAATTAACATACTTTTTTAAGTTATGCATTAAATTTTATGTAATCTTACATGAAAATATTGTATTTCGTTAGTTGCAATATAAATTATATTCAAAAAGTTGTTTGAAAAATTATTTATGTATATTTTAAGAAGTACTTCATGTCTGATCATATGCATATATTATATGGATTAATTATTGGATAAAATAAATTAATTAGTTTAGCGTGAATATTTTATGACAATTCTTAATATTCATTATTTTATGTTTATATGATATTTTTATCATATTGTTAATCGCAAGAAGAATATTTATTATTGAAAATAAAATAACCGCAAAATATTATAGAATACTTTAAAGTTGTATGGAAATTACTGGAACATACTGCAATATACATTTGTATACTATGTAAACTTTTTTTTCGAAATTTATAATTTTCTCGTTAAAATATATTTTAATTATTATAGCACGAATTTTTTTGATAATAAATATTTTAAAGTAAGATTAAACAAATACAAAAAATTTAAGGAAATATACCTTATGTAACCGGAAGGAGGATTTGCCGCACTATTCTTGTGACGAATGTCGTCGTCGATATCTAATACATTTGCTAGCAAACTCTTGCTACTCTTCTCCTGCAATTCCATGCCCTTTGCCCTTCTGTTGCCTCCAAGAATGGTCTTCTTCGTGATCTTCTTTCCTGGACGACTCATGCGCAGCAAGCACGGCAACCATTGTAAAAACAGCATTTTAATCTAAGTGCAAGTGAGAAAAACAAAATTTATATAACATGTAATTTTTATAGTCTAATGTTTAATAAATTTAAACGATAAATGAGATTCTGATGTAGAGAAATTAAAAGAATCAACTTCATCGAAATTAATTATATGTTTTTTAAAAAATCAAATGATAAATATATTTTTTAAGATTAAAATTTAATGATTATTCGATAGTATTACATGAGAGAAAGTGAACTTATTCGAAATTGGGACATAACTTTTAATAAAAATCATATATTACGAATATAATATTATTAAAAGCTTTTACGTTCTTAAAATCTAATTATTTCAAGAAAAAATTTAAAATAACTTTGAAATCAATTTAAAATCTTTAATATACCATTAATAAGATCCTTAAAAGCAATATTTTCCCATAAATAAAGATATGTATCACGTATTTTACTTATATTTTACCTTAAAACTTGATCAAACCGTATTAAAATTAAGAAAACTTCGAATCGCTATAATTCTGAAGATAATGACTTCCGGTCAATGAGTGAACGATCATTGGAAGCACAGAAACTTGCCCTTTAAAATGCTTTTTCATTTATCCCGATACGATTCCTGGTTCTCAAGATATCGTCATGTAAAGAGAAACGTAATTTTTAATCGTTTATTATCTCTGTCCTTGTTGCTTATTTGGACCTCTCGCTCGCACCTCATCTCACTGACCTATCCCAAACTCCAGACAAGCGACAGACGCGATTCCTAGAAATGCATAGTACGCATTTCCAGGAAAAATAAGTAGGTCACTGGGTCGCGGACCCATTCATAATTTCCGTACGGTCTTAAGCGTTACTTTGAGTCTTTATATCTCGGTAACCGATTGAGATAATGGGATAAATCAAAAAGTGACTTCATTGGCATGATTTTCTTTATTTCCTGAGTAGATTTGATGACAAAATTTTTAGATTCTTGTCTCATTTTTTATTCAAAAACTTGAAATCATTTGTGACTTTGTATGTGATTGCAATGGTGCATTAAACAAAAACAACGAATTGATCGAATTTTTATGCACTTAATGTATTTCGGAAATTACGAATTTGTTTTCAGTCTTTCAAATTATCATTTGTTTGATTCACTTATTAAAAAACCTAAAGGTTTTCTTTCTCTTATTTTCATTGAATATAAATGTATAAAATTCATTAAACACGAATGAAATATCTCATTTTTAAAATGACTCAACACGACTGAAATTACTTAATACCATATATTAATGCTTCTTTTTTTTTTTTTTTTTATTCTTTAGGCGAAGATTGGTATTCTTTGTTTCGCTTGCATCTGGAAATAATGGCATGGAAAAGTACCGCGTGGAATTTTTCGTAGCCCGTAGGATTCTCGTCTCCGGTTGAAGTACGTTTCCTCTTGGTTTATGAAAGTTCTAGTAACCAACGGCCAAGAGGAAGTGCTAACGCCTCGAAGGCACTTTAAACTTTCAGCGACTGAAGCACTGTCTTTAATGGCTGTAATGGCCACTGCGGATAAGGGCTGAGTTTTATGAACGAAAACACCAGCTACATTTTGCATACATCTGTCAAAGTTTTCTCTCTCTTTCTCTCTCTCTCACGTTTCGGTAAACTGAACAACTTTCGAAAGCTTGTAATTCAATCTCAAGTGCGAATATCTCGCTCTTCGTTATTCGTCGAGAGTTTACACATTATTATCACGAATTATGCAACAATTTATTATTATTATTATTTTTTTTTAGTATTATTAATTTTTCCAGATTTTTTTCTTCGTTCAAGAGATTATTAAATATTAAAAAAGATGAAAAATTATGATATAACGATATTTAGTGTTATAAACATAATTATATTTCATTGAATTATATAACACGAGTAAATATCGGAAATATTGAATTATAAATTATGATTTACAAAACTCTTTCAATTTGTTATTTTGTTTGTTAATTTGACTGATTTTTTATTATATATTGAATTTTTATTATATGTTATGTTTTATATATATTAATTTTTATGAACGAAATACTAATGCGATAATAATACGATATTATTATTAATATATTTTAAAATACATATTTTAATAGTAAAATTGTAAATAATAAAAAAAAATAAGCGAAAATAGTACTGTTAATTTTAATTTAACAATAAGATAGCAACAGTAACAATGTAAAATAATTATTTTTTCTCTTGTTTCATATAACTAATCATAGAATATATTACAAAAAAGAAATTATTTTTTTTTTCAATTTATATTTTCTTTTAGTTCATAATGGAAGAACGTCACGCACATTCGGATTTCTTCTTTTGTTATCTTGTGAATAACACAATCAAAGATAAAATTATATTTATTCTTTTTGTAAACGAGATAATGATTTATCTTATTTTGATTTATTTTCTTTCATGATAATATAAAGATTAAACGAGTAAAAATATCAAAAGAAGAAAAGAAATTAATTTTTATATTATAAATCCAAAGAGAACATCTTTTTAAAAGTATAATAATAATAACATATTACACAATATAAGAAATATAAAGAAAAATGTAAAAATTATGAATATACTCAAATCAATAATTACAATATAAATGATGAGATTCAATGTCATATGCTTAATTTATTATTATTTTTAACTTTTTTCGACCTATTTGTTTTTTAAAATTCAATGAGATAATTCGAATTATGAGTCATGGAATAAACTCGATTTCTGAATAACAAATTAATCATTGATTTCATTTTTTACATAATAATTAAAAATATTTAATGATTTGATTCTTCATCATGCAAAAACTATGTATTATTAAATCAATTGTTTGAAATAAATATTAAAAAATTATATTCTCTGCTTTTATTTCAAGTTTAAAATTCTTTGGATCAATGATTTGGATGATGGAATAGATAAGTTAACAAATTTCAAACAGAATATTACGGTCGAAAAAAAGTTAATACAGAAAATTCGTGATAATTTAAAGCAAATCTCTTACCCACGATGGCATCACGTATCTGTCGGGCGTTCTGTGATGAAAGTTCAGCACCAACACTGTCAGAACGACGCTGCTCGCCACCATGAACATGATGCAATTGAAGTACGACCCTGAATTCGGGGTGTTCCAGAAGATACCCCGAAGAAAAGAACATAAAAAGGAGGCGATTAGTCACGGCAATGGATCGAGGGATCCACTCGATTCGTCTCTAAGAATGAAAGACTGTAGGGCTACTTCAAAAATATTCGACGATAAATCAAATTCTCATCGAATCGTGTGATCGTTCTTCCTTTTCGTGTTAACCTAATTGTTTCACCCCTGGTAATCTTTCATTCGTTTCAGTGACCATCCTCGCACACACATACGCGCGCATTGAGGATTTGTTCAAACAGATTCGAGGATCGAGAGTAGTTGAAATAAGTATTTACACAAGAAATATTAAATTCTAATTAACCCATTCATATTTAAGATATTATTATCTATATGTACACGTAACATAATATTTATTGCTTGCGATTTATTTCAGCAAAATCATATACAATTACTCATATTAATATTTAAAAATTATCCCATTTTTAAATTTATTTTTGTACAAGAAATTATTTTGTAAATCTCACTGGCTATTAACAAAAATATGAATTTTGAATCCTTCATATTTTCATATTATTAGCAACATGATATTTAAATAATTTTTTTCTGCAAAAGATAATAAATTGAGAAAATAATATTAACATGAGCAATTACGTATTTAAATTTTCAATCATAATTTCTTTTCTAATCGACAAGAAATAAATACATAATCGATTATCTTTCACATTTCTACATATATAATTTGTTTACAAAGAATAATCATCTCTCTCGATCCTGAATCTCTCTAACACTCGTGATCAAGAGCACGCATTCTCACACGATCACATAACGTTTTCCCATTCATTCCTGGCGATCCTAGGTCGTGTTCCCGCCGATCCTTTTGAAGAGGATTGTTCCAAACGAGGAGGAGAGAAATGCAGAGACGAAGGAAAATTAGGCGAGCGAAGAACGAAGAGAAGTTGGAGGGAATAAAAATTAAATAAAATAGAAGGAAGAATATGGAAGAAATAGGCGAATTGTAAAACGAGTAAAGCGAATATTTGCATGCATTCGAAAAACAAATAAGCGATTTCGCAAAAAATGTTTTAACTTTAGTTTTATTTCCGCCAACGACGTCGAGAGGACTCGTTATCACATCGTTCCTTAACGCTGTCATATTTTTGATTCTTGTTTGATTATGGACACACGGTATATAGGTGTTCGAAGTAGAAAATTTAAGGGATAATTGTAGAAATATCAGTTGAGAATTACTTGTACAAATTATAAACAATTTTGTTTTCGGTTGGATAAAAAGAAATGGAGATAGAACTATCTTATTCTATCTCCAATTCATTTCATTAAATGCAAAATTGATTGTAACTTAAAAATATGATATTACACTTTAACAAATATTTTTTACTTTTATCCCTTTTTTCTTTTTTTTTATTTTGAAGTTTTTAGAATCTTCATTTAATTTTTTGATTTGTTTCGTTCGAACATCCTGTATATGAATTCTATATAATTTTTATGAGATAAATTATGTGATATATATCTTTTATACCTGTTGTTATTCATGTACATATAATTTATCTTACTCTTTTCTTTTAAATTATTTAAAAATTAACAATATTGCTCGATCATAAAATTAAAAATTGCAAATAATACAAAAATTTTTAAAATAAACGACCGTGAACAAAGAACCATTAAAGATCCAAATTAACGCTGAATTTATCTTTTCTCTTATATATCCTTTAATCCAGAATATTAGAATCCTGAAATCGAAGAATCATCTCATAATTTATCTTTTACCAGAATTTAATTTAATAGACAGATTCAAAATAAAATCGTAGATCTTAATGTATAACCACGCAAATTAATTTTAAATTTGTCCTTTGTCGTGCAATATCTTTGATTTTAGAATCTAATATTCACGATGTTATATAGGATACGAGTAACGAAGTGTTAAGGAACACTTTAATAACGTATCCTCTCGTATCGTTTGTGGCGGTGTGCATCGCTAGCCTGGCTTCTACATTTTGAAAGGGAAACATCTAACACATTGGCATGCAATTACTAGAAGGATGCACAAGTGCCTTGGGTATTATAGCGCACGAATAATTGTTGTCTACGGAAGGATGCGCAGAGCATTCGCATAGAAGCTGCTCCTAGAACGTTCTAATGAAATTAAAATTAATCCACGTCTCGTTTTTTTTTTTTTCTCGTTCAGGAAAGAACGAACGTTAATATGCGACAGACTTACTGGGAGTTGTTAATTGTATCCCCGATCTGAACAGCGTTTTTGTGACGGATGTTTTGTTGTTTTCTGAGGATTATTATTAGTCACAATATTTTCGCCAAATATTTTTAGTTTTTTGAAGATCGTGCAATAATAACGTGTGTGTAATGTGCGTGACTTTGTTAATTTGTTAAGAAGATAAATAAAACTGTGAAGAAGAAAATTTGTGCGGTATCGTTATTCGTGAAATAATGAATATATTTTGTGATACGTACTGGTGTGGAATGTATAAAATATTAATTTAAAACAAGTTTTTAAAAATAACACTTTTATCCAAATTATTTCCCTCGTATTTTCTGTAATAATCTCTATAAGCATTTCATTATCGTTAGACTTGTCAAACTTAAATGTCTTTTTTATATAATCACACGTAAAATTTTTATTATTATACACAAATTCCGCGAAATTTATTAAAATTCCTTTATTTTCTCGTCGAAATTTCATATCCTTATATCCTATATTTTACTTTATCAGAAAACCTTGATAATGCAAATCCATCATTACGGTCAAATAATCATGATTTTCCGGTGTAAACGATCGTACTGATAACATTACTCTAAAACGTTAAGGTAAAGTGAAAAGAAAGAAAGAAAGAAAAAAAAAAAAAAAGAAGGAAAAGAAAGAAAAAAAGAAGTGAAAGTAGAAGGAAAGGGTTAATCTCGGCGCGAGAGAGAGAGAGAGAGAGAAAGCAACGTTAAAGAGGGCGGCTTTTAAAGTATGGATTATCTTCATAGCGGAGTTTAACGGCTCCATAAAGGCTGTCGTAAGCGTCACTGATGTGATTAATCGTTGTACACGAAAGCGGTTACCTTCGTCCTTTATTAATGAATTCTAAAGCGAACGTCAGTCTACATATTTATAACTTTTGCTTCGTTTAGATACAGGCGTACTTCTTTTCGGTACTTTCACGCTTGAAATTTCTCGAGCCAAGAAGGGAGAAGGGGGTTGGATGACGGAATTTATTAAAGGAAAATGGAAATTCACGATGTGCTAAGCGAATAAGATAGTTTCAGATCTTTCAGGAATCGAATGAATTATGATTCATCTCTCGGTTTTGCACGTGTATTTTGATTCGTTTGTCACATTGCGTGTGATCGATTTGCAAAATAATTTTTAAGATTGTCGATTAATTTAAATTTTCTTTAACAAAATATTTTTTACATAATACTATGCAATTGGTATGAGTATTATATCATTATATTTAATCGAATAAGGAAATTATATAGGTGAAATGATCGAAATTAGACAAGATTCGAATTTACGATCGCATTCAATTACGTTCATTGAATCATCAGTTGCATATTATTTTTTACTTCAAAGATACTTGAAATATCGTTTAAGATATTAAGAGTGTACGCAATTTGTTAGAAAATTATATATATAATTTCAATACTATTAAATAATAATATTTAATACAAGATATTTTTCTTTATAGTTTTTTAAATAGTATAATAATAATTAAAAATTAAAAAAATATCTTAAATCTTCGAATATGCATTTTATAAATAGAACTAATCTCATTTTATGAATAGAACTGGAATAGAAAAATTAATCATCTTCAATTTACAACTAAATAAACAACATCATCAATGTAAAATATAATTTAACTTTTCCTATATATATATATATAAAATAACACATATAATCATACGTACTTTGAAACTTCACGACTCAAAAGTATCATTTCAATTATTTCTCCTCTCTACATCATCAGAAAATATCAATTCCAAAACCCTCCATTCCAACCCTCGAACTATCCTTTGCCAAATACAAATACACAGGTGCCTCGTAAAATATTAATAAAACCATCCCCTTTCCTTTTCCGGCGCTGTATTTTCCAATCAATCCCCCCCTCCTAACGATTCCACATCCATCTCCCCCTCCCGTTTACACACCGACCTGCTCCAAGAAGGATAAAAAACACGTTTCCTTCCTATCCATTCGCTTCACGAATGGAATCTAAAATTCATGCTTACCCTTAAACGTGAACGCGGTGTTTACGGTAAACGATTATCCTCAGTCGGATATAGGGCCTGGTAAACGTGGGCGTGGGCGTATATTTATTGCATGCACACGTAAGCAAACAAGCTGCACGGTTTGCACCACGGAATCACGCAAATTGCGATGATCTGTGCACAAACGCTTTTCGCGTAGTTTCATTAATGTGGGGGATGATAGCTTCACCCTGTTCCCGATCGTTCGCGGATTCGCGAGGCAGAGTTGATTCGTGAACGAATTTTGATTCGTGAAACAAGGGAGGGGGAGGGAGAGGAGGAGTGGTGGGGTGACAACGGGATGCCTCGAGAGATCGATATCGAATTTTTTCACCGTTATTTCGCGCGTGAGATGGAAGGTCGATTATAGGGGAATTAATTGGGGAATGGATATATTTGGAAAATAGAGGGAGTTCGATTTGTCAATGGGTCGGTGAAAAACTGAATAATTTTTTAACGTGGATGTTTATACAAGTAAATATTGGGAAAAATTAAGAAATAAACTAATCGTTTGCGAATTTATTTTATATTTGAATAGGTTGAAGTTGAAAAGTAACGTAGATGATGGGGATAAAATGTGTTTGAAAAGGATGATTTGTTTCTTTAACTTTAGTAAGAGAAATATTGTATTGCAAAAGATAAATTAATTATTGATTTGTTAGTTGGAATATTTATTCTGTATTCGAATAATGAATCATTTGAGTAGTCAAACTTCGAATAATCAACTAATATTGTTCATACACAATTGCAT